TTTTCTTGAAACTTTTTTGGATATTTCTCAACAATCGACTTGGAATTCATAGCTCACTTTCAGAAACAAAGACCCTTGGTGAAATATACAGAATTTTAAGAGAATTCATTTGCAGTAGAGAGAGGAATCTATAGGACCACAAGGTCTTCTTGTGTTCAGGTGCAAATATTTTGTAGGTACAATTTACTACATATATCTACTTTTCAAATGCAGTCTACATTTCCAGTTTTTTTATCATATTATCCCACTGTTATCCCAAATTATCCCACTAGTGCAGCGACACTACTTCTAGCAATATGCCAGCTAGCACAGTCTAGCTGCCAACATTTTACCATTTGCAGCCACTCCTAGTGTTAGGCAGCCTTAGCTGCCAAGGTGCTTTAGGGAACATCAAAAGCCAAGGTGGTGGTATGTGCTTGTTCAGAGGAAGAGGTGGTTAAAGCAAAATATCCAGTTTCCCCAGATATCAGAACACAGCCAAACATATGTTCAGTCTAGTTATCTGCTTGGGAATTTAGCTCTTCGGCCTTTTCATGGATGCAGCTGCACAAAGAGGCTTTGAAGAGTTATCTCAAATGAGCTTTTTGTCAAATTACAGGGTTTACCTTTTTCATAGAATCATAGAACACTAGAACTGGAAGGGATCTCGAGAGGTCATCGAGTCCAGTCCCCTGCCCTCACGCCAGGACCCAGTACCATCTAGACCATCCCAGACAGAGGTCTATCTAACCTGCTCTTAAATATCTCCAGAGATATTAGTGAACACATGAATGAAGGAATGGGCTATTTCACCCATCTCTCCCTTCTGGGGGGTCCTCCAAAAAGAGACTTTTGAGGGAAATGTGAACAGATGGGCTCTCTGAAAGCAAGTGATGGGGAAGGAGCAAGGTTTCCTATCGTGGTTGCCACCTGTACGGTCTCCTGGAACCTTGGACCTTCTTCATTCTTATCCTGGAGATGTCATGACCAGACCAAGGGAGCCAGATGACACTGCCACTTCCCCTTCAGCTAAATCCTCACCAGCTGAGATATGATATTTTGTCACACACATACCTTATTTCTTCTTTTTCCTACCCCTCTTTTCCCTTCTAAGGCTATGTCTAGACTGCAGGCTTTTTTCTATTTCCGCTCTTTTTTTCAGAACATTCTTTTCCTAAATTTGGCCTCTAAACACGGGGCCAAATTTCAGAAAAACCTTCTCTTTCAGAACATCCCTTATTCCTCTCACTGAGAGGAATACAAGGATGCTGAAAAAACACTCCCACTTTTTTGGAAACTGTTCTGAAAAAGCGGATGCATTCCCTGGATGCAGTATCCCAGAAAAACTCTGCAGTCTAGACATAGCCTAATAAAAGTCTGGCTTAGCCAACCAAGATGGTATATTTTATAACACTGCTGTCAGCCTGTGACCAGAGAGTTAAATGCAATTCCCTGAACAGCCCCATCAGTGGTACAAATTGGCCAGTGGTGGACTGAGGCGAAGTCTGCAGTAGGCAATGAAGTTGAATTGAGATACACAACTCCAGCTATGGGAATAGCATAGATGGAATTGACATACCTTAGTCTGACTTACTCTGCATTCCCATTGTGGGGATTGATGGGAAAAACTCTCATCGACTCCCCTTACTTCTTGGGACCTGGTGGAATATTGCAGTTGACGAGATCATGATCAGTGGTCAATTTAGCGAGCTTTTACTAGCCCTGCTAAATCTGGGGTGCACCATAATTTTTGCGTGGGGGCATTTAATGAAATTTTTAAGTGGTCACAGGCCAGCTCCAACCCCTTCCTAATGGGGAGAGCCCTGAGGTGGAAGGGGTGGGACTCGGGTCAAGCCTCCCCACAGAGTTGTCTGGGGCCAGAGGCTTTTAAAAGCACAGCAAAGGGCTAATTGCTCCCAGCCCCACTGCTACCACATTGCCTGGGAGCAACACAGGTTGCTTCAGCTATTTAAAGGGCTCACTGCTCTGGTCCCTGCACCACAACCAGAAGCCATTTAAATAGGATCCTGCTGTCTGAACCACCTCCTGGAAATTCAGTGGCAATGGCAGCGGAATATAAACAGAAAGTGGGCAGATGCAGTCCATGTGCCAGATTAGTGTTAGGTGGGCCGGATACTGCCCCCAGCCACATCTTGCCCAGCCTTGTGCTAAATCGACCCCTGGGAGATTGACTCTGTGGAGATCAAGTTCCCGGTAAGTGTAGACAAGGCCTGAGTCTGTGTCCTGCATCTGTGTGTTTCCAGCAGGAGGGCTGCCAGTGAGCATCAACACCAGAGATGGGAGCTGGCTTTCTAGCTTTACTGTTCTTTTTCTTTACATTTTTGTGTGTGTGTGTCTTGTTTTGTCTTCTAGGAACCAGGATGGGACTTCAGCAATGGCACCAGCAGCTCCAGCCATCCCCATTCACTTCTCTTTCCACCAAAAGTCCAGTTAAGGCCATCTTTAATTCCAACTAAGTGATGCCCAACTAGTGGGGGGGATGCTGTTAAAATGAAAGTCTTACTTAACACTTTACATTATAATTACTTTAACTGCATTTCCTTCTTTTTCTATAGCTTTGAGAAAGGGTTAAAAGATTTTTTTAAATGGTGTATTTGCCAGGGTACTATTTAGGCTGAGGTCGCTGTACAGTAGACCCTGTTTTAAAACTCTTTAGCGTTGAACAATTTCAGATTCATATTAACAACTTTAACTCTGTCAGAAGCTGGGAATGGGTGATAGGAGAGCGCTCAAAAAATGAGGTTTACAGGATCTTTCAAAAAAGGGTTTATTTTCGACAGATCCGCATCCAGACTGCCTTTTTTTTTTTCGAAAAAGCTCCATTTTGAAAAAATGCAGCGGCCATGTTTATGCAAATGAAGCATGGGATATTTAAATCCCAGCTTCATTAGCAATATCGACGTGAGAGGCGTAGTCTAGACGGACCCTGTATTCACTAGTTTTGTGATTCATTTTGGTATTATACATTTGAGTACATTACAGTTAGTGCATCTAAAACTGGGTTTGCATTTTACAGTATAAAGTTATTTAAACAGACTAGTTATTTTCAGTAGAAAACTAAGTTCTGAAAAGTTAGTTGCTATTGGTGTAGTGACAACTGTATGCAAATGTAACCCCCGTGTGCACTAAGCTCCAGAGGTCCTAAGTTCAGTTCTGCCTGTCAGCACTACACAAACTCAAAGAATTGTCTTAGTAATTAAATTTAAACCAGATTATCCATGTTTTTCTTATATTTGGCTTTTGGAAAGAATTATTGTTATTCACATGTAAAATGTACATAGTACAAGATGAGTGCAGTAATATTTTATTGAGTCAATTTCATATGCTATTTGTCACCTATAGCAGCAGTTCCCCACTGCCGGTCCAGACTGGTGTTGGGTAGCAAACCACTGGCTGCCAGGCTGCAGCAGCTCTTGGGGCCAGGGCTGGGATACATTACCCAGCACCTCCCCTCCCATTGTGGCTGTTGGGAGAGGCACATCCTTCCCCAGTTTGCTGCATGACAGGAGGGCCATGCCACATCCAGCACAGCAGCCTTAGGGAAGCCATGCCCTGAGAAGCAGTGCTGAGTTGGCATCTGGGAGTCAGAACAGGCCTAGGTGAGGAGGGCTGGGCAGGCACTGGGGTCTCCGGGGGCAGGACTAGTGCTGGGAGGGCCTGGGGGTGGGAAGGCTCTAAGAGGCAGGGGGTTTGTACTGGGGAACTCTGGGGGCAAAGCTAATACTGGGGGGGCTAGTACTGGGGAGCTCCAAGAGGTGGGGGGCTGACATTGGGGTGTCCAGGGTGTGGAGCTGGCTCTGGAGGCAGGGCTAGTAGTGAGGGGGCTATTGGAGCAGGACTGTTACTGGGGGGTAGTGGAGGGGTAGAGGGCCCTAGAGGGTTAGGGCTGGCACTGGGAGCCGGGGCTTTTTTTACTGTGGACTGGCAAACCCAGTCACAAACTTTTGGCAGACCGGTAACATTCTATTTGTATATTTGCATGTTCACATTTTGCATATGTATAATGAACATGCAAATATGTAATTAGAATGTTACTGGTCTGCCAAAAGTTTGTGACTGGGTTTGTCGGTCCACGGTATAAAAAAAAGTTGGGAACTACTGATCTATGGTATACTGTCAACTCAAACTTTATGGATTTCTTGTATTCATTTCTTCCTCCAATTTGAATTAATATGGCTACTAGGCACTAAATAAGTCCTGTAATCAGTTTTTCATTAGATGTATCATTGACCAACAAATGATCTGAGAACTGCATTATCTAAATTCAGCCTTGTTTCTTCCAGTTTATAATTCATGGTGAATCATCAGTACCATGACTTAGTTTAAACGTAGAAAATCCTTTTAACACACACACACACACACACACACACACACACACACACTCTTCAGCTCTCAAACTCAAGAAATTAATGGTTATCATGAAAGAAAGATGTAAGAATTTTACAAATTAGCTATAATCAAATTACTTTTTCAACAATGTCACAAAGCTTATAAAATATGCAGGGAACTGCAGAGTCACCACCCATAAAACATAAAATCCACTGGCTAATTTGCTAGTTCCTTGTTTTTTAATTTTTCAAACAATTGTATCTATTTGGCAGGCTCCCATGCATAAAGGATGATGCATACGCTTCTGGATTTGGTGCTTTGCATCAAACTGGCTATACAGTAACAATTATACTCACTGTTTGGAATTTAGATGTCCCAGATGGAAGCCTATTAATTAATTCTGTGTTTGGCTAAATCTGTTATGTTGCTGCCAACTAGCTTTTGCTATCACAAACCTATAGGACAGAGTTCTGGTGATGAGTACATTTTGGAGTGTGAGAGAACGTGGCTGGGTAAACAGGTTAGCAGGTTAGTGACAGTTCGCTTTACACAACTTACTCTGAATTTTGAAGATCTGCTGTGAAATTAGCACTACTAAAATAGGTCAGACTGAAATTGTGAAAAAGGAACAGATTGGCACACAAACTCATGGCAACAGAAAACCAACTGTATGGTGTACAACATAACTTTATTTTTCAGAAGAGTTCACTTCAACATGTCAGAACAAAATGTAGTTTTCTAATCTTGAAGCCAGCAAGATTTAAAAAATTAAACTTTTGAGTTTTTCATCTGTAATTTCTATATTGAAATGTTTTTTAGAAAAGAACAATCTAGTCTAATATTAATGAAGACATAAGCAGACACTACTTACTTACTCTCAGCTTAAAATAAACATATTACACAATCACATATGGTGCTTTGGTAGTATAATAAACTACAAAGGAAAACAATTCAGAGGAAACAATGTAGTTTGTCAATTATCTACATTTTTGCTATGTTGTAACAGCCCCAGTTATATTTTTTATTTACTTTTCATCTTTCCATCAGAGCAAACTCCCTCCGCATTCCCTTTGTGGCTTATTCCTCACAATAGGGTCCTTCAGAACAGGATTGTTTCAAAACACTATGAACACGGCCTCTGGCAATAGGAGTTCTTAAAGGGTTTCAATGAACATTCATGACACACAAAGATTTTTACTCCACAAAGACTTCTTTTTCTCAGTCTTACACGTTTGATCAGCACATCTGAACAATGCTCTCACTTTTGAGTACATACATTGTACTTCTGACCAGCTGATACTGATACTTCAGAATATGATCAATATCTCCATCTGCTCATGAGCTGAATGTGCCATATCCACGGTGCTGCCTATCCAAGGATCAAAAGAATTGGGTTTCTCTTTAGACAGAAGTGGACAGCTAACTTGACACTTTTGCAAAACATGTATTCGTAAAACTGGATTATTGTACTTCAAGAGGAGGCTTTATTTCAAAATATAGTTAGTACATGTCACTCTAAAAATAGTGTAAATAATGCTTTTATGTTAAATGAGTTTAAACAATATTGGTTCAATCGATTTTCCAACCAATCCTATTATAGAACAGTGTAAAATAGTACTGCTTTTCAAAAAGTGTTCAAGTATTTCACTGAAATACATAATGAAAAATAGTCTAAGATTTATATTACTATATTTTAAAGGAAAATCATTTGCATATGTTATCAGAACACTGCAGTACAAATATCATTATAGCAATGATACAGCATATCACTTCAAAATTATAGTTAAACATAATTGCCTCCAATGAAAAAAAAAATCAGCCATCTAGGATAACTGTACTTCAAGTGCTTCAGCAGTACAATCAAAAATTACCAAGGTTTAAACAATGCAAACAGGTGGGAAAACACTAATAAAGCTAATCAGCAATAGTTTCAATAAATTATGTAAATACAGTACTGTTAGTTCAGACATGAAACAAGGCCAAACACAACTTTTTTTTAAACTATATACAGAAAGGGTGCTAAATTCTGATCTTCATTATGTAGACGTGAGACTGGAATGACAAAACAGAATTCAGCCCAAATCTATATTGACTTCAGACTTCAGCATAGAAGTATTAATACAAAAACAAATATACACATTTAAATAATCAATTTTCCTTGCTGCACTAGCAAGCAACTAACACAGTGAATTTATGATTTATCAAAGATTTTCCTCGTGACTTCATACAGGAAATTAACATTTATTATATGTTTCCACATTTCACTAATTAAAAGTACCTAAAACATTTCAGTCAATTAAATCACATTTAAGCTGAACATTTGGCTCCCTATCCTAAAAATAGTTTCATCTTGTATAAAGAACTTTGCAAAGGACTGTGCCATTGTCACTGCTGAGGAGGGAACCTTTTTGTGCATTAATTTAAAATACTTTAAAGATGTAAAATTTGCTGGTGCTTTATAATATGTATTCTCTCTTTTCCTTTTGCCTTTCTGGTATTATAATATGCCCTTGTGAGCTGCTTGTGAGATATTTCAGTTGCAGTTTGTGGTACAAGCTGCCCCGACTTGCGATGAGGTTGGTTCCAGAGATAGCGTTGCAAGTCGGGGGCATTGCAACTCGAGTCTGCATTTACAACAGTCTTCATATACCATCGTAAATGTGGGGCCAAGGATGTAAGTTTGGGGATTTAGGCCCCTTCTGCACTTACGGAAAAGGTCGTAAGTGCAGGGGGTCATAAATTGGGCTGTCGTAAAGCGGGGGCCTCCTGTACTTGGTATCATCTAAACAGTTCATTAAAGCCTTTTATAATCCCAAAAAGTTCCATGAAGGGGAGTTTATAAATACATCTGTAAATCATACCTGATCTTACATACTGTGCCTTTTATTTACTAAAATATTTCAAATCTCTTAAAATTATTACTTAAAGCCAGGAATGTATATTTGAATTGCATTGATAAGTTGCAAGATACAGTCAGAACCAAGTAATGAAAGATTAACCAAAAACTGAAATGAAAATGAAGTAAATGAAGATATAATATCACTACTATCCAGTATTTAATCACATGCATCTACAGAATAATTCTAGGAAAGCAGATCTTTGAAAACTGACATTGCAAATATCTTATTTTGATCTACTCCAATGGTGTGATTTCAGTGGAAAATTCTCACAATACTTAAACACATATATAATCATTATTGCAACACAGTCATTTCATTCTTTTAAAATGGCATGAACATCAATTATTATGAAAATGTAAGCCAATTAATACTCCTTGTGCCATATACATAATTTAGGTTGTTCTTCTGAGATCTCCTGATGAATTTAGGTTTAAAAATTTCTTTAATTAATGTACATAGATGAAGTAAAATATTTATAAAATTATATTTTAACAAACAAAATGCTTTTCAACTTTAAAATATGTATTAACTTGAATGAAATTCATATTTACTCAAGTAATTTTCTTTGTTTTTTAAACTGTGTGGAAGGATATCTATAGAAATTGCTCAATTGTACTCTAGCAGTAAATAGCTTCATCATTAGAGTTCTCTTCTATTCCTCTTGCAAAGAGTTTTATTAACTGACAATGAACCCTGCAAAATAAAGAAATTGTGTAGTCAAGATCTTTTTTATTAAGAAGTAATCACATTGCTATGAGCCTAATTTGAAATCACTGTGCATCACAGACAGCTGAGCTAAACAGTCTACACTTCAGCGCAAAACTATTGCTTACTGTTGCTTACACACTTCCCTTCTGCAGAGTATATTGGACTATGGACTATTTATTCATAAGTTCACAGGTCCTGCAAACACAACTCCTCACAGAGACCTCTGAGTGGGAGTTTTGCATGAGCAGACTATATCTGATAGGTCATATCTATTTATATAAGCCTCAATGAAATAACTGATTCATAGATTCCAAGGCCAGAAGAAACCATTGTGATTATCTACTCCTTTGAATACCGTTCAATGGAACTCTGTCCTATGGACATCCATCTGTACTGTATAACTTTTTCTTTTTACCAGTTACAAACTGCTTCCTTCCACATGCTCTCCATCTGATATGAACATTTACAACTAGGTAAATATACTTCTCTACATGTCAAGGCAACATCTGACAAAGACCCAAAATCAGGGATACATATATCTTTATGTAGATTAAGGGTTGGTCTACACAGCAGGGTTTAACTCGAAGTAAGCTATGCAAATTGAGCTACATCAATTCCGTAGCTTATTCTGAAATTAGGGGTGTCTACACAGTAGTTATTTCAAAATAGAGCACTCTTCCTCTGACTTCCCTTACTCCTCGTACAACAAGGGTTACAGGAGTCAGAGTAAGAAGTCCTCCAGCTTGACAGTAATAATAAATAATGCTAGTTATTTTGAAATAACGTTGCTGTGTAGATGTACTGTAAATAAAACAATACGGAATTGATTCAGTCCTTTACAGAATATAGTTTCTAAAATGTAAGTTTTATGATCCTTTATTTCTGATTCAAGTAATTTTAATAACAAAAATAAAGGGATATCAAACGTGTGCAAAATATTAGTAACTTTGAGTTGTATACGAGTGACAGCCTTCAAAATGAAGGATAATTGAAGGATACAGGTTCAAAGCCAAAAGTGGATATTGTCAACCTTTATACAACCTAACTAGAAGTTCGGCAAACTTGTGAAGTTGTGTGGGACTAGATCCTCACTGGGTCAAATGACCACTGGAAGTGCTCTCCCTATCTTCCTTGTGGAATCCTGGGAATTATGGAAATAACTAATAGCCATGTAAGCTTTTCAGTGAAGTAGGAAGAAAAGAACTGACCTATTTTCCTTTCCAATCATTGTTTTTCAGGCATATTTACAATCAGTTTTACTTGGTAAACAAGAAGACACATGAAGAATAGCAAATGATCTCTGAAACCAACCAACCAGAATTCTTGTTGGAATGTATTTTGAATCTATCAGGTACATTTTAGTGTTTATTAGTATAAGAAAAAGTATGCATTTTATTTTTTCCTGTAAAGTATCTGGTAAAAATCAAATGCTAGCATTCAAAGTAATTCTTGAAAAAGATTCCAATAAGAATCACTGAATTCTTTAGGAATACAGTGTAATCTGTTACTAACTTCTTAAAACTGATTTAAAAGCAGACATCTTAAAAAGATCTCCTTGCTACTAACAATATACATCTCAATAGTTACTCACCTAACTTCAACAGCCAAGCTATCTAAAGTTTCTCCATCGCAGTTCCAAATACTGTTACTAAGAGTACAGCAACATGTTGGATGGTCACTGCAGAACTGGCTGAAGTGTCTCTTTCCTATATCCTTGACATCACTGTCATTGTCTTCTAAATGTTTTGATGTAAATTGAAACTTCTTTACCCGATAAACCTCTACAAATGTGAAGTCAAACTACAAAGAGAAATTAAAACAGGTATTCTATAAAGTATGTTATTTAAATTAATCAGTAAAGCTTAATACAGAAAGCAGCATTTCATTTTCACTGGGGTTTCCAATTTTCCAGAAGGGCTGACTGTGGCATGAAGTACAAGTGACATTCTCCTAATGTTACACAATAACTGAATGGTTCTTTTCACATAAAATACACGGTCCTCCAGGCTGTCAGGCCTTTGCTTTCATCACCACAACATAGGTTCTCAAGGGACTTTCCCCCTCACAAAACCCTGCCCTTCTTTACAGCTAATTCGGCATGATCCTAAAATTATTTTAACATGGCCAAACATTTTGTTTTTAGGGTTGATTGGTTTGTTTGTTTCCTGGCTGAAACTATTTACCAAATTCGCTCCGATATTTGTGACAGGTTTAGGCATCCCCTGAACAGTGCTTTGGCAGGAAATGTACTGTTCACCAAAACTCTTCCTGTGGTTCCAATCGGGAAGGGTCAGCTCTGGGCCCAGCAGCTTCCTCTCGCAGCCAGCCCAGCACCGCTTCCCACAACCTCCAGGGAAGCTGCCAAAAGGGCTAGCATGAGTCTGCACACTCCACTCTCCAAGGAGCTCACAGGTGGTGAGGGGGAAGAGGACTTGCCGGCCCCCAAAAAAACTAGCCCTCAGAACCTTGTTTCCCCTGCTCCTCGTCAGAAACACTGACTATCTGGACAGTGCTGTAACTTGTGCAATAGCTACCGTACGAGGCCATGACTGCAGCCCCCCACACGCCTGTCCTGCAGGCAGCACGTGCTACTCAGGCTGCATTCCTGGCCTGAAGCTGGGAGTGGTGGGGCACAATACCACGCACACAAGCAAAGCTCCACCAGACCACCACTCTGTCCCCTAATCCCTGCCACCCAGTGCACAGCCTGGAGTGGCTACGTCCTCCACTCCCCACGAACAGCAGCTCCCTGGAGACAGCGGCACATTCCACCATCAGGATCCCGGCCCCATGCACTTCCTTCCATGTATGCTGGTGGGAAGGGAGCGGGTGAGGAGCCGGATGCCAGCAGGGCTCTGCTCTAGGAAAACGCCACCGGCAGCCCACAGTAGTCAATGCTGCTTGTTGTCTTGCAGACCAGCACTGGAATTGGTAGGGACAGCATGTGTCTACATGACATGGGCATGGCCTGGCAGTGTGCCGCGGCCTGGTAGTGGTTTGCAGCCTGGCACCAGTCTGTGGACCAGCGGTTGGGAAACACTGGTCTAACGTAATTACCAAAAGGAATTTGGCTAAGGCAGAGCTGGGTAAAATACAACCTGCAGGCCAGATCCAGGCCACCAAGCCACCGGATCTGGCCCACAGACGCAGCGGGGAGCCCTGAATTCCCTGCTTGACTGGTTCTACCCACACACCGTTCAAAAAAAGTGGTCATCGGGCTGTTTTTCTTTTCATAACAGCGAGCCTGGAGGAGAGGAGGGAGAAGGCTTCTTGTGCTGCCCCTAACACCAGTACAATCCCACTGGCTGGTTTCTGGCAGCACATGAAGCACCATGCCCCCCTCCCCTCCAGCTCATAGTTATTCACACATGCACACAGTCCCTACAACCTGAGCAGGGGCAGGGCAAGCAGGAAGGCAAGCTAAGCTGCCTGAGAAACACGCTGGGCTGCTGGCTGGGAGTCATCCAGGTAAGTTTCCCAGTCAGAGCCTGCCTCTGGCATCCCAACCTCCCTTTTCCCCAACCCTCTGCCCTCATATCCCCTCCCAGATCCAGCACCCCACTTCCCTGACCCAGATCACAATCTCCTCTAGGTCACAACTCAAATGCCTGCACCCCAATCCTCTGCTCTCCCAGGTCACAACCCAAACTTATGCCCCTTAGGTCACAAGCCAGACCCCAGCACCCAAGGTCACAAACCAAACTCCGGCACCCCAGTCCGGTGCCCCAGATCACAACCACCTCCTTCACCCAAACTCCCTCCCAGATTCCACACTCTCTCCTGCATCCCAATCCCTTACTCTAAGCTCCCCTCTGCACCCAATCTCCACCCCAGACCCCGCATATCCTCCACTAATATCATGGAAGAGTGCGGCCCTTGACCACTTACCAAATTCTTGGAATGGCCTCCCACATCAAAAATTATTGCCCACGTCTGGGCTAAGAAACCCATGGAAGAAGTCCTTGCTCTTATGCAAATTGTCATGAGATCTTTGGTTGTCACATACGGTCAGAATGTGTCATCCAGAATAAACAGATGCTTGTTTATTAATTCAACCACAAAATTATTTTTGTGCCAAATAATTCTACTAGCATTTAGACCAGGGCTACTCAACGTTGGAAGCCCCAGGGGCCACAATGATACTCTCAGCACATGCCGAGGACCGCAACTTAAGTGTGGTTGCATATACATGCAAATATATATGCAAATAGATTCTTTTTCGCAGTGATGGGCATGAATACAAAGATTAAGGCAAGACCATACAATACACAGGCCCCATTTAAGTCAGTTCTGCTGATATTAATAAAATGCAATATTTACCCACTTTCCACCCATACAACAGCACTTTTAATGAGCAATGACAATCTAAGAATTTAACTACTAAATCGCGTATCAACAGAACACTATTATATTGACTACTTTTTTCTTTTGGCTCCCACCTGAAGGCCACATGTTGAGCCCCGCATGAATCTAAACTACATCGTGGGCTGCAAACAAACAGGCTGCAGGCCGAATGTTGAGTAGCCCTGATTTAGACCATCTTCATATCCTGAATAATACATGGCCTTAAAATGAGACAACACATACCTGATCATCTTGGTTTGTATGCCTGACGAGATACCTTAAAAAACTGAATCTGGAGCATTTGCGAACTATAATGAGGTCAATAGAGCCATCTGCCAAGTGAGCTGCTGGTGAAAGACCTTTAGGACTCCGTGGACAGGCACAACTCATATTGACTGCATTGATGGCCAAAAACTTTCCTTTAATAACTTTCCAATCTTCTTCTTCATCTTCTGAAACACAAAGTCATGAATGTCATTAACACTATTGCTGATATATCTATAGGAAGGGTAAGATACAACTATGCTCAGCAAGTGTCAATTATGTAATAAACATTTTAATGCATTATGAATATAATACAATACGTTTTGTACATTTTATCATGCATTCACCCGCAAAGTTCATATTGTAATACAGTAATTCCTCATTTACACGCGTTTCTGAAAATGTTTGTGCTAAGTGAAAACGTGCCTTGCGGTGTCAATTTTCCCATTAAAGATAATGGAAAAAGTGGGGTTTGCGTTTCAGGTGGTGGTGGCAAAGTCAATTTTTTGTTGGTGCTGGGTCATCAACGACAACATTATCTAGCAACACAAGATAACTAGCAACACAAGTCGCCATGATTTGTTAAAACACAAAGCTAAACATGTGAGTGAGAGTAGGAGTGCTGTGACCACATGTACTCATCCGCTCATGCGTATTACCACTGTTTTCACCAATTTATACCGCCGCACGAAGTAGTCCGCCACTTGATTATTTTCGTTTTATTTCAGGGACAGTCGTGTTATTTGAAAAACATTCCCTAAAAAAAAAAATCATGCTATTGCGAAAACGTGTTAAGTGGGCACGTGATAAATGAGTATTTACTGTATCTAATATTTCTTCCTACTAAGGATTCTTTTCAGGGTCTATAGACCAAAATGATACACATTCTTCTCTTTCATATCATAAATGTTTGACACTTTTATCACATGAATGTCAAAGTCAGTACCATATACTTAACATTAAATGGTAGTGGAATTAACCCACATGAAAGCAAAAAACAAAAACAAAAAAAAGTGGTGTCTATTTAAAAAAGGGAGCAACAGGAGACACAGCAATTTTTGCCGTTTTATTTTTAATTTATTAATGTATTTATTTATTAAGATGTTGATACTAGAAAATTAAGGATGTGTGTATGGTGGTTTGCTGCTCCACTCTGTTTTGATTTTTTCCCCAAGCCACAAATGTATTCAAATAAAATAAAAAATGTGGGAGGGAGGATAAATGACTCAAGGATGACTGAAGTAGAGAAGGAGGGAGTAATGGAGAGCTGAACACTTTTATGGCAACCTCCGTTTGCATGGGATTAACTGAGGGCAGAACTGGTCCCTGTATGGTATTATAAATCTGCACACATAACAGAAACATAACATAGATGTTTGTTTTCATCAAGACCAAATTATGGGTATTAACAAATTATAACCAGACTCAGTTTAACTTTCTGGATGCATCCATTTTACTATAACGTAGCAGTATTTTTTCCCCTCACAGTCATCTGTTACACTGTTACACTGGAAACACTGTATACAACTGGCATTTAAAAAAAAAGTAAAGAAAAATAGTCAGAAAAGGAAGTTAAATTGTATGTTTTGGTATCAAGTTTACATTTTTTCTGCCTTATCACTTCAATGAATTAAGAAGGCTACAAAGGCATTTTCAAAAATCCCTTCAAAATAGAAATGGACTTTAAATATTTAATATAAACTCCTTTATACAACTTATCCAGTGAAAAGATGCTTGGAGGCTATGGTGAGACACACTGTTTTAAGAATCTACCTAGACAGAAAAGCCGCACAATAGTTGATTAGGGTAAAGTATGTTAAAATAAATATTAAGTACTCAACAAAGCAGACAACCTTGGATTATCAATTTTGGGTGCTGAGTAGCAGTAATAAACAGTAAACTTCTGATAATCCGGCACCTTTAGGACCTAGGGAGTGCTGGATTATCAAATATGTCGGACTATCGGAAGGGGGGACTATGAGGGGTTTGGGGTGGAGTGCAGGACCAACCCGGCAGCACCCCAGCTGCTCTGCCCCGGCTTTCCCTAGTCAGCTGCTGGTCAGTTTCAGCAGCGGCTAAATCCCGGAAGCCGGGGGCAGAGCAGCTCCAATTGTCCGGCTGCCCGGAGCACTTCCGGGTTCCAGATGGTGCTGGACCATCAGGAGTGCTGGACCATTAGATGCCAGACCACTGGAGTTTTACTGTACTGTGTCAATGAAAAGTGGGGAAACGGAGGCTATGGGACACTCTACTTGTAGAGATTTTGCAATATAATGTTCTTTCCCTCTACTCATTTTGGTAAATCAGTAACAAATGGTTTTCATTCTGAGTTGAGCTTCTGTGACTTAAATGGAATATATCTTCATCTCTATGATGAGAGCATACTTGAGATTTCTTTCATCAATATTATAATTCTAATAGTCTTTGAATGTGATCAAATGGTTCTATGCTTGTTTTGGAGAAGAATTATCCTGATCATGCAAAGCTTGCCTTCAAAAGCAGTAGTGGTTGCCTGTGTTGGATTCATTTTGAACTGATCTTCCTTCAATCTAAACAACAAGACGGAGAAAGCAAGAGCCCAAGGGAAATATTTCTTAAAAGCAAGTCATTTCTCTAAATTCACTTGTATTTTCTACTTTTTGGACTCGTCCACTCAGACTCTTTGGCAAATTAACTAAAGGAAATAGTGTTAAACATGGATATGTTTCAGAGTATTTGACTGAAATATTCATTTTAGCCTTGACTCTCTGCAGGCTGCTAAGAGCTGCTGAAATAAATAGTGCTAGTACTCAACATTTGCTCAGCACCTGCACAGTACTGAGAAATGCATTCAGTACTCAGCCATGTGAGCAAATTATTAAACCTGTGCTGAAATGAGCAGAGGGGAAAGTGGGCACGGTGGAGGGAAGGGAAAGTAATTTAATGCATGGGTGCCGTGGCCTTTTTAATCCTTTTAGTTCTTTTTACTGCAAACCAAGTACAATTGCAATACAAAATCAAGACTAGCAGATTATTCCACCTTGCTCATCAAGAGGACCAGCAGCTGACAGTATTCAGCATGATCAGAGGCTTAATGCCTCATGACACATACTGGCCACCATATTCCTGATGGCTCACTAGCTGGCAGATCCTATTCTCCTGAGCCAATGTTTATTGTATCATAACTAACATAATACCATGCTTAGCAACCTTTGTGATGGCCTCTTTCACAACTGCTTTTTAAATCTTTGCAGGGTCGAGTCTTTGGTCAACACAAGATGATTTTCTTCTAGGGTGACATGACACATTACCATCATCATGCCACTTTTTTCTGCACATAAAGATGCTGAAAGTTAATTCAGAGTTAGGAGGAAAATATGAAATTTGAAAGAACTATGGAATGCTAAGAAACTATGATAAGCTCTTAAAACCGATTAAAATATTACCTCAATATGATGCAATTTCATTTTACCAGGACTATGCAATGTTAAAATAAGTTATATAACCATAGAGAGCACACAAAATCAAAATCTGTACCTTTGATTTTGGCTGAATGTGAAGTGCATGCCCATAGGAAAAGCAGAGGTATGAGACAGTGAATGGAAAGCACTGCTAAAAATGTCCTTTGCACCTGATTTTTGGGGATTCTGGGACTGATTCAGCACCTTCAACAAGCACTGGCTCAGGTACACTGTGAGCTATGCAGGTTCCTAGGCATAAGTCAAAGCAACTTGAGAGTTTTTGTAATTTACTGCAGCTGCTAATATCTTAATGGGTTGAAATAGCAACTGGGGACCAGTGCAGCATGAAAACATCCTAACTCTTACACTGGCAGCAGGAGGTGGGCCAGAGACATAAGTCAACACTTTTGGAGCTAGATATGCTAGTTTTATGGCCAGAATCTACCAGTAATGTAAACATGACTCCAATATATAGGAGGATATGGCCCATTATGTTTAATATTTAAGGCCGTGATCCACTGAAATTAGGCTTTGGATCAGGGACTATGGAAATGAAGAACAGACACACAGGTCTGCACTAGAAATCTGTCCAAAAGACAAGAACACTGAAGAAGGATTTACATGAGGAGACTGAGGCCAGGAACTAGTTTCTAGTCAAATGGAATGCACCCATTTACATTAGTCTGAAGTTGCCTCTAGTCAAGATTCAAGGTTTGCCAAGATGATAGAGCGCAAGTGAGGGTGAGATAGGCTAGAGGAAAAGTGAGTTGCACAGAGCCTTGAAGGGGAGGGAGCAGTAATCTGAAGGTACTGAGGAAAGAAACTGCAAGTAGGGATGGAATAGGATAACCATTTACACAATTAATGGATATGGCTGGGCTTATCAGTTACCATGAACGATTACATTCAGGCTCCTGCCCCGCTCCTGGGGAGCTGGTTGCCACTCCGCACTGCTGCTTCTTGGGAGCGCCAGCTCCGGGTATGCACCAGCTTCTGGGGAGCTGGCTGCCACCCTGCACTGCTGCCTCTGATACAGTGGTTACATGTTTACCCAATTACCCACTTTTTAACATTCCTAACTGGAAGTCAACGCAGGAATTCAAGGAGTTCTGCGTGTGTTTTGGGGGGAGGGGTTGACATGATTGGAGCACCAGATGAGGAACAATAAACACATTTGGTGTAACTGGTAGGATATCACTGGGAAATATATTAAGTAGGCTGTGAAAAGTCCATGTTCATAACATGATATTTACAATTTTTAAATATATAACTGCTTATTCAGGATGAACATCAATGCTGAAAAAGTACAAAACCTTCACTTTGATCTGTCCAGACATCCATCTAGGAGGCAATTCAGCTTTCACACACTCTCAGGGCTTGATAATTAAGTGTTATTTTGTGATCAAGAATTCAGATGGTTTAGGATTCAGATGAACACAAAACAAACTCATTTTCTCAGGCAGGAGAAACCTGATCAATTGAACTGTTCAAGGAATTAGTATATTTATTAGAAGGATATTGGAGGATGATATTTCTCATGGTTTTTTTTCATTCTTCTTTTCAAACTGAATCCCAAATTCTTGACAAGTTTATAATAATTAAAACAAAGTAAAACTGATCTAAGCGTTTTAAGAATTTTTATTGTAATAAAATGCTACACCAGGGGTCCTCAAACTTCACTGTACTGCAACCCCCTACTAACAACAAAAATTACTACATGAGCCCAGGAGAGGCAACTGACGCATAATCCCACCCAAATCCTGCTGACCTGGGCTTCAGCCCTGAACGACTGGTTCAGGCTCCAATTTCAGTCATGGGCCCCAGTAAGAATAAGACAGTCCTAGTGAACACCATTAAAAGGAGTGGCAATCCACTTTGGGTCCTGATCAAGGCTCCCTCTAAGGGTACGTCTAGACTACATGCCTCTGTCGCCAGAGGCATGTAGATTAGGCTACCCGACAGAGTAAAATGAAGCGGCGATTTAAATAATCGCCGCTTCATTTACATTTACATGGCTGCCGCTTTGAGCCGACAAACAGCTGATCAGCTGTTTGTCGGCTCAAAGCGGCAGCCATGTAAATGTAAATGAAGCGGCGATTATTTAAATCGCCGCTTCATTTTACTCTGTCGGGTAGCCTAATCTACATGCCTCTGGCGACAGAGGCATGTAGTCTAGACGTACCCTTAGGCTGGTTGTGCAAGAAAGCACTGTCTTTTGCATAGACAAGCTCTATTATTCATAATTCCATTGTGCCAGAACAGGGGTGTCTCCATAAATTTTCCCTATTGTATGCCTGTGGTGGGGTGTGCATACTAGGAATGTAAAGGACTAGTCAACTATCCAATAAGAAAGTGCTTATCGGATAGTTGATAGGATAGTCGACTATTTGCTAAGGGTTGGTGCACATAGAGCTGCCTAACTGGAGGAGAGGCATTTTTCCCTTAGGGCTCATTAAGCAGCTGCAGAGCAGTGCTGCTGCTCATCTTAGAGGGAATCTTAGTCCTGAATCACAGTTGAGAACCGTGGCACTATTCTTTACATTTATCACTACAGTAAGTTACCATTATGCTCTGATCCATAATTCTGTTGCTCCTCTAGTTGTTGCTTACTGTGACTGCAAATGTAGCACCTGAAAAACAAGAATATTCTTCAATTTAATTGTAGTATGTTTTTCTCAGTTATTGAAATAAGTGACTTACATGATTTCAAATTTGGAAAAGTTTACTTTTACCACAGCCTATATGCATTGTTCTTTAGCACATGAAGATTCCAAGTGCTTCTGAGTCAGTCAGTGGCTGGATTTACACTAAAGATATCTGTGTAAGAAATACCCAATTCATAAAAGGGATACATACACAGTAATGACTGACTTTAGTATTTAAACCATGCATATGTCACACTAAAACTTTTTTCTGCTAGTGATCAGAATCAAACTGAGCTGCCATTTTAAGAGATGTATAATACACTCCCAAGACTCTATACCAGAGTACCAAAGTACCAGAACAAGAGCACAAGTATGGCTCTTCCCCACCCACATCTGCACCATGGTCCTATTGCTCCAACTAGATCCATGGATTCCTGTACCCGTGCAGAGCCTCACTGATTTCAATGATCTGTCCTGATAGAGTGGACAGCAGGAGCAGGGTTCACACTGAGGCTGTGTCCAGACTCCATGCCTCCGTCGACGGAGGCATGTAGATTAGCCAGCTCGGAAGAGGGAAATGAAGCCGCGATTAAAATAATCGCGGCTTCATTTAAATTTAAATGGCTGCCCCGATCTGCCGATCAGCTGTTTGTCGGCAGATCGGGGGAGTCTGGACGCGATGCCCCGACAAAGAAGCCTTTCTTCATCGACACAGGTAAACCTGGTTTCACGAGGCTTACCTGTGTCGATGAAGAAAGGCTTCTTTGTCGGGGCATCGCGTCCAGACTCTCCCGATCTGCCGACAAACAGCTGATCGGCAGATCGGGGCAGCCATTTAAATTTAAATGAAGCCGCGATTATTTTAATCGCGGCTTCATTTCCCTCTTCCGAGCTGGCTAATCTACATGCCTCCGTCGACGGAGGCATGGAGTCTGGACACAGCCTGAGTCTTTGGGAGGGGCAATTTACAGCACTCCCAAGGGCTGAGGAGTCTGTCTGATCCCCATTTCAAACAACATTTTTTAAATGTCAATTTGTTTGGAAACTCCTGTTTAGCTTTTACAGGATTTCTTAATTTCATAATTATTTCCAAGTTCAATATTTTTAAATGGAAAATAGTGAAACACATAAAAATGTACTACTATCTTTGTTATGCTTCATTAAGATTGCCCATCATATTTGAGAAGGAACAGCTATGTGCTAATACTAGCGTGGGACAAGTCACTCCCAGGATAGGTATTTGGCAGCATGAACCGGACACAGGACACCAGACTCTAAAGCCATGAGACTCTATTGTCCAAAATCAAACATCCTGGTTCCATCATGTCAAAACCAGCAACAGATTCTTAAGCCTCAATGACTACTGACAATAGCAGTTCTAACTTGGAGCAAAATTATTATTAGAATTGAACAAAAAGGAAATTAGAGATCAATTAAAATATTTGGCTATTTCAGGGGACCTTGCCCCCAGTTAAAAAAGGTTTGAGTTTTGCAATTTACTTCAGTGGGAACAGAACAAGTCCCAAATCCTGAAGCGACTAACAATATATGTAGTCACATTTACTTCAAGAGTTATCTTGTGATAACAGAAAAGATTTGTACTTCAGTGGGGCTACTCACCTGCATCAGTATTTCCGGGATTTAAGGCCTCATAGTGTGATTACTTCTTGTTTGCAAAAGCTAGAAGACTTTTGGATTTGTCTTTTGCTAGTGTTTACATGACATATGCCCTTGAGTATCTCTTTAGTAACTGAGCACTACATTATTGCTTTATTTTGCTTTTTTTAATAACGCAGGATGAAATATGCCAGCAGGTTAATAGACACATTTTTGTAATACAAGTCAGTGCTAGAGGTGTGGTGGTTTTTTTTTTTTTTTTTTTTTTTTTTTTGGAAGAGTTTACTTTGTCTACTGACCTAGGAGAACTTCCACAGCATGTTTCTGGATATGGAGAAAACAACATTGCCTAATCTGTACTGAAATAAATGTTCTGAATTACTTTTCTTTGTTAGCTCACACAAAGTGAAAGTGAATAGTTTATCAAAATTGAAACCCTCTTTTCTGAACCCTTTTAAAACAGTCTGTATATATTACCAATACATATTAACCTACCCTGTTCTGCATCTGTTTTTATCTCTTGGAGATCCCAGTGTGGGTTTTGCTGGCAGAAAGGAAACTGTTCCCTCATAATAATGATGAGAAAGAAATGTCTTAAAACCTATATAAAAATCAAAAAACAAAAACAAAAACAAAACAGTTTGCATAACTTTTTTGTTGAATTAATCCCACATTTTATCCATTCCTTAGTATTTCCTCCACCAGGAATTGCAAGAGAACAGTTTCTCTCTTCAGTTCCACATCTCTTTGCTATTCTGGAACTTTTAGAATGGCTGAAGAGAGAAAAAATACCTCTCCTTCATTTTCTTTATTACTTGAAGAACAAAAATTGTGGCTCAGACTTTTAAAGCCAGCTGTGGTGCTTACCTATGCAACATCCATTCATTTCAGTAGCCTGTAGATTGTTTTTTAAAGGAGAGGGGACAAACAATACTTCCCTGTAGCATAACACATGAATTCACAGGGTTACAGAATGGAGTGTACAGCCAAAATTAAAATGCAGATACTAGTTTCCAAAAGTCTCTGTCAAAGTGAGAAGCACTACAATATGAAGGTCAAAATACAAGAGTGAATGAGTATATTTCTGGATTTATCAGCAATTTGGCAAACAATCTTAAGAAAGAGTGATGACGAACTACAGAGAGTAGAAATATTTGAAGATCACTAGTTCATCTCCCCTAAAAAAACCCTCCATCAAATCAAAACCCATCAATCCATTTTTTTCTGACCAACATGATTTACAGAATTGAGGATAATAATGTTTTGTAGCATAGGATAATAATGCTTCTTCCACATTACTATAGTTCCACTGCTCCTCTAAACCCAAGATGCTCACTCTCTCCAGTGAATCCAATATCTTGCTCCATTTTTTTTCCTCATTGAAATTCTAATACAATATTTGTGAAGAGGAACAATTGTGTTCATTTGTTCTCCTACTACCAAATGTTGCTTCTTGCCCTTACTCTTTGTATGACTAGCATGTTAACAAAAAAACATTACCAAGCTCTCGCCACTAAAATTGGTTATTGAAAGTTAAGGCTCATATGTAGTATCACTATTACAAACAGCACATTAACAATAGCATTGCTATTACAGGTTGGACCTCCTTGATGCAGCACCCTCTGGACCTGACTGGTCCTGAACCAGAGGATTTGCCAGACCCTAACCCTAACCCATTAGGTCCCTCCTCTAATGACCCATATCGCCCTGCTACCCTCAGGCGCGGGCACCCCCCAGGGCTTTTTAACTGACACTCGCTCAGCTGCTGCCAGGACAGTTGTTGACATTTAACAAATTTTGCCTAACATGACAGCTTCCACAATGTAAATGGAAACAGTTGTGATTAATACTATTAGCAACTTTGTTCACTTTACTCACTGAATTAGTGTCTTGATGAAATTTATTTGTAGAGGAGGAGGTTACATACCTGTACCTGCAAGGCTTTTTGAGATGTGTGGTCCCTATCTGTATTCCACTGCAGGTTTATGGAGATTGCCTATTTCCTAGGACTGGAAGGGACCTTGAAAGGTCATCAAGTCCAGTCCCCTGCCTTCAGAGCAGGACCAAGTACCACCCCCTGACAAATTTTTGCCCCAATCCCTAAATGGCCTTCGTGAGGATTGAACTCACAACCCTGGGTTTAGCAGGCCAATGCTCAAACCACTGAGCTATCCCTCCCCCCTAGGGATGTATGTGCACCATGGGCCCAGAACCAAAGAATTTGAAAGACGGGTCTGTTGGTCTGCACACAAGCCCTGACTCACATCAGGCCTCTAACCAAGGTGATAAAAAGTGATAAAAGAGTGGGGTGGTCTGCACATGTGCCCTGACTACCACATTGGTCAGAGGCATGATGTGAAAGAGTGATAAAAGGGTGGGGTTGATTGATGCCATCTCCAGTTCCTTCACCACTTTAAATCT